TCCCCCTCCCCACTTTTTTCCCTCCCTCGTCGTGTTTCGTTTCGCCCCTTAATTCCGAGTCCTCGGCTTCCCGCAGCTCCCTCAGCTCGCGCCCCGCAGAGGAGCTAATAATCATTTTTGAGTGAAAAGCGCACGCAGAGTGGAGGGGGAAGGTAATAGAAAAAGCGCCACGACGCACAATGCTGTGATGTACAACACAAACTGGCTCAAGTTTTTGGCTTTTTAACACCAATTTTTTGTGAATTAGTCTATTTTTTTGGAGCACCCAAAAAAATGGTTTCTTAATATTTAATTTTCTTGGTTTTTGGAAGAAAAAAATCTCTCCATTAAAAAAATGGGTTAAGAAAAATTTTCCTGCAAAAGCCAAGAAAATTTAAATTTTTTATCCAAGAAGTAATTTTTGGGTGAGCATCATCTGATAAAAACGTTAATACAATCGCATTTTCTTGATATCGTCCTACATATTTTGCCAACCCACTCATTTTGACTTATAAAATTTTACATTTTGTCGTTTCTACTGGGTTCGGTGTTCCGTGCCTCGGGAAACAATTTCCAGCGGCCCGATGTCCCGGTGCTCGTCGTGCAGCACGTCACTTTGGGGAATGGGATTTGGCCGCCGCGGCGTGGAATTTTCACGCGCGTTGCGATTGTGCCGAGTCGCCGCCCGGCCCGGTCCTCCTTACATATTCAGCGCGGTGGCTCCGAGGTACGCCCCGCCACGCACCACGCGGCACCACGCCCACGCTCACTTTGTCTCTTCAAGTTGTTCGCAGTTCGTACGAATGCGTACGTCCCCGCGGGGGCAGGGCGCCGCGACTGCGGCACTTTTCAAAAAGTAAGAACAACAAAAATGAGGACTGCTACACCGGGAACCGCGGCGTTTTCCGCTTTTCCCGCAGAGTGTCCGTAAAGGTGTGGGTACAATGTTTACTGCCGCTGTGCTGTGCGCTGCTCGGCGCTGCGCTCCCTATTACTTATTCCCGAGGACGTATATCCCCCTGTTCCGGCTCGCTCTCTATCATCTGGACCTCCAGCAGGAAGCCGAAGCCTCACCGCGGCGCGCGCGCCACCCAGACTCATTCCGAGAGTCTCTCTCGCACTCATGGGGCGTCCCGTGCAGGTGCGAGAGAGACAGAGCGACGAAAACGACTCTGCTGGAAACCTCCGGGGTCATGGTGTCCGATGTGATGGCTCTGTCTTTGCCTCCTACCGGTAAAGGTACACTTCAGGCCAGGACCATGTCCCCTGCCATTGGGCTCTCGGTCTGGGTGCCCCGGGCTGACTAGGGCTGCCTCCGGCTGACCGCAAGTGATCAACACATGGACTTGAGTGGGGCCCGGTGGGGTTCGGCGAGGGGGATGGCCGCCCAGCTGGTGGGGTGGCGGCTGCTGGCGTCGCGGCGCCGCCGCCCTTCGCCGCCCCCGCCGCTGCCCCCTGGACGGCGCCAGCACCCCCTCCCCTCCCCGACGCGGCGTGGCGGGGATCCAGAAGGCGGCCAGGGCCCCGGCCAGGGCCCCGGCCAGGGCGGCAGTCTAGTCCGGACCGCAGCCCGAAGGCTCCGCGCCGCACCGCGCCGGCCGACGCGCGGAGAGACGCGAACCGGGAACCGAACCGCGAACCGGGACATGTTGCACCGCGATCCCCCTGACTCTGGTCGCGGCATGCACCCCGTGGAGCGTGTGGCCCCCATGGCGTAGGTGAGTCCGCACCGGCCGCGTCAACCTGGTGAGAGGGCGGGAAAAAGTGGCACGGCCGGTAGTTGAACCCAGGGTCGGCATTGGGAGTGACCACGTGCCCTGCTCGAGGGTGGGAAAAAGTGGCACGGCCGGTAGTTGAACCCAGAGTCAGATGAGGGCGGGGTAATATATGGCACGGCCGGTAGTTGAACCCAGGGCCGACAGCGCGCTGCCGACACCGAGCCTCCCTGTGGTCCGGCTTCGCGGGGATGAGTTTACCGCGCGTGCTTTGACCCTGAGCGTCACCGCAGAGGCCAGGGCAGAGGCCTCAGAGGCCAGGCCGAGGCCGGGGTGGAGCGAACCGGGTGGCCGCCGCTAGGCAAGCCGTCGCCTCGCGTTACCGCGTCGTGTGGCTGTGGTCAAGGCGGCCTCACTCTAGTTTCCTATTTTCCAGCTCGTGAATTGGACTTGGGGTGGTCCTGGCTCGATTGGGTCTTCGAAACCTAAGCACTACGCTTGAAGACGGGCGCAAAACGCTTCAGCTCTACTATAGTGTTTCCAATTTGCTCAAAAAAAAAAACCATTTACTTGGTGATTATTTTATTTTTTGAAGAGGCTGCAAGTTGGGCTCATTTGAATGCAGAACGTAAACAAAAGCCTGTAGCTGCAGTGCGAAGTAAAATTTCTGTGCACACTGAGAATGAAAAAGTCTTGATCAATGCCCAATTTTGGGCGTGGTATACTCTATCACCCAATCGCCCAAATTTGGGTGAGGAAGGCTTCTTGCCCATATTTGGGTGAGGAAGGGCGTGTCAGCTTCATGGCTTCACAGAATTATGACCAAAATTTGGGTGAGGAAACCCTCCTCACCCAAATTTGGGTGATAAAGAATTCCTCACCCAAAATTTTAGTCATGATCATGACTCTTTCATTCTCAGTGGCAGCATGCTTTTTGAGCGCGGGTGATTTTTTCGAGCCTTCTTCCAGCGAGCCGAGGACCTAGGCGAGAGAGTCGTCTCGTCCCCGCGGACGCGGAATGGACGTGGCGGGGCGGCGGCTGGCATGCACCGTGTTTGCCTGCGCTCTGTTTGGACAGACATTTAGCAGCTGGACCCCAGCGAGCAAGGCAAACGAGTACGCCGTACAGTACCGGCCCACCAAATGACACCTTGTCTGTTTTGGGAAGAAAGTGTCCCACTCGGCGTCTGTTACGCGTCGGCTACGTCCCGGCCAGTGAGTGCGTTTCGGATTTGTTTTGTTTGAGGTTGCCTTTGCCGCGCGAACGCGACAAAGACTCCTCCCCGCCGCTCGTGGAATAATGGGCAAAGAGTGAGCTGCCACGCACACCAACCAGCGCAGCGGCACACCAACTAACACACGCACACACCGACACGCACAGCAACACCAACACAGCGACGCGCCCTCCGATTGAACCGCGGGGATCATCAATATGAGACGCGCGTACCGCTGTGTCACTCTGGAAATAAATTATCGGACCGAGCTCATCGCGTGGAGTGAGAGAAGGCGAGTGTCGGTGTGTGTCTGTGTGTGTAAGGTGTGTGTGTGTGTGTATGAGAGAGAGAGAGAGAGAGAGAGAGGCGACGGCCCGCCACCATATCTGTCAACGGCACCCCTGGTCCCCATGGTGCGCCATGGCGGGTCGCGGTGACTTTGTGCGAGGGCACTCTTCGCCGTCCCGGCACTGCATTGATCGTGGTGTGCAGCAGCAGGTGCATGTTGTTGTGGCGGCCGTCCACCGCGTCCTTGACAACAGGGTGGGGCCCTCTGTGGGCCGCGGCCCTCGCGGGGCGTCGCGGGGCGTCGCGGGGCGTCGCTCGGTTGGAGACGTCCCCGGCACTGCCGCTCGCCTGGCTTGCCAACTGCGAAGCGAAGCGTCCAGTTAGCAAAAGTTTTCAAAGGCGGGCTTCCGCGCCCCACCCCGGGTTGGCCGGGAAGTCCTCGCTAGTTCCCAGGGCGTCCCTGGCAGTCCCTGGCGCATACGTTATGCAACAGCGGACACTGAACCTCCCCCACCCCCTTGGCTGGGTGGCGGGCAGGGCGGGGCAAGGCGGGGGTGAGGAAGATTCGCTACCTCTATCTGCGTCCTCCATCTGGGCGAGCGACGTCTCTGTGAATGGAACCCGGAGGCTAGGCGCTTTCTGCCTGGAGGTGACCCCAATCCAACTAAATTTTTTTTTACAAAAGCTGGGTGGTATTTTTTGAACTTGAAAAAGTACTGCAGTACTGCAAACCAAGCTAAGCAACAAAACTGTTTCAAAATCCGAAATAAAAAAATTTTTGCTTTTGTGCCCAAAGAAAAAGTGAACTTTTTCAGAAAATTTGACAATGACTTGAGTCTTTTATGTACCCTTGTTGGCATGGATGTCTTGGCGACAGATCGCTGCTGCGAAGCCGTTTCTCATTGAAAGCTCTGTCGACGGAGAGAGAGAGAGAGAGAGAGAGAGAGAGAGAGGGGGGGGTGAGGTATTGTAGCCGCGGCCCGATTGCCGGGGCCTGGAGTGGGGGGTGAGCTGTAATCACCTTAATGGCTACTCTACAACACGCGGCAAAGGTCTTGCTTGACGTTGTGGTTCGCCTTTTTGACGCGCACCCCTGCCTGGCCGCGTCGTGTCACAAAGTGCACGCCCCGCTACGTGTCACACTCACGCACTCTCACACACGCACACACACACACACACACACACACACACAGGCGGCACGTTCGACGTAATTGGGCCGCTAGTGCGGTAAATCGGCGGCCATTGTCCGTCGCCACGCCCCGCGACGGACTGCGCTCCGGCACGCGTGTTACCAACCTAGGCGTGTTAATTTCTCTCTCTCTCTCTCTCTCTCTCTCTCTCTCTCTCTCTCTCTCTCTCTCTCTCTCTCTCCCAATCAATGCGCACCTCTCTGCTGATCGCGGAGGGCCTGCTCCTCTACGGACCTCGGAGGGCTGTTTCGGCGTCCTTGACAACCCCCCCCCCCCCCCCCCCCTCCCTCCCTCCTTCGGCCCTTCCGCTGCGAGTGCTCGGCCCCTGGTTCGTTCCGGGGAAACTTTTCACCGGCCGGGAACTTATCGCTAACCGTTGTTCTGTACCTCGAGTCGGACCCCGCTGCTGCTGCTGCAGGAACCCCCCCTCTCCCTCCCTCCCCCCTCCCCCCTCGGCACTGAACTGCATTGCATCGGCCCGAGTGACCCACAGGGGCGGAAACTTGGTGGCTCCAGTGGCTTTGACAACAGACGGGGAAACTCCCGACCCGATTCCCGCTTGCCTGTTTTCGTCTTCGTCCACTGATTTCGCCCGCCTGCTTTTTCTGTTGCAGCACATCAAGGAGACCCAGAAGCCTGGCGCCAAGGGGAAGGTGAGTACTGTACTGAGCGAACCGTCGTCTCGTCGCTCTGTCTCTGTCGCACTCACGGGGCGTCCCGTAAGGGTGCGAGGGAAGCAGCGAGCCCTTAAGTGATCGAAACTTTTGTTTACTACTGTATGCAAAATTGGTAGTCATTTTACCATGACATTTCGATCAGTGTAAAATGATGTCTGTTTGCATCACAAATTGATGACAATGTCACCGCAATCCATTGGTGAAATTTTCCCCAGAGGTCCTGCTTACTGCGTGAGGACGTCTTGATAGTAAAATTAGCCTTGATATTGTCATCAAATGACCTTAATTTTTGCAGTGTCTTGCTGAAGTTGCCTTCAGCACCCTCACAGGTCATGCCTGCACTGCAACACACTGCCCCGCCAGAAATGCACTGGCTAATAGTTCTCCTGCTGGGCCCGCTGCGCTATGTCGCCTTGGCCTGCCTTGGCTCAGGGTACAGAGTATTCCTGGAATTCCTGGCCGGAGTCGTGCCGGTCGAAACGCAATGCCGTTTAGAATAAAAACAGGCCGCTTTACGGAGGGCCCCTGCGGTCCCCCGCGGTAGCGCGCGCTCAGAGGCGCGCCGACCCGCAAAGAGAGAATATGCAGTGCACTGTATAAACACAAACCATCCATACGTAAGTGCACGCACAGTGCGCCTTCTTTCCTCTCCCTAAAGCACACACACAGACGCATTCACTCACACATTCACACACTCGGAGCGCAAACTCGGTTCCGAGTTTGGTCCCCATTGAGTGGCTCTGCGTGCACATTCCAGGGGGCCTCTGAGGACGGCCTTTGCATGCATTAATTCGCGCCAGTGAAGACGTTCAGAGTTGGCGGAGGAGAGGGGGAGGACAGTTATCAAAATTGAAGTGTCGGCATATTGTGAATAGCTCTGTTAGTTTAAAAAAATTGATCCTGGAAGTACCTTTGAAATACCTGGAAAACTTCAAAAGACGCAAAACTTTCAGGGATCCTGGTTTTGTCTACCAAAGTGAAGAATCTGGCACACTGTCAAAAAAAGAACTGGAAATTTTAGGCAGTCCTGCTTAGGAAAACCTGCCAGAGATTTCAAAACCTACTATTCATAATTTTGACTCCATTTCGAGTGTGCTGCTCAATGTTTTTCAAGAAAAAATTCGTCCTCTTATTAAAACCTTTGGGATTATTTTTTTTTTTTAACAGTGAGCGAACGAACGAACAAGTTGTTCACTTACGTGTAGCGAATGGTAACAAAGGCGGGGCCAGCTCATCGAAGGGCGTCGAGGGTTGCCAACATTTCAATGTTGGAGTTCAGAGAATGTTCAGAGAAAGGGGGATGGAAGTGAGCCTAATTGGCTGCAGTGCAGACTGCTTCCGAGAGTCTCTTTCATCGCCCTGTCGCGCTCACACTCGCGGGGCGTTCCGTGTGGGCACGAGAGAGACAGAGCGATGGGACAACCCTCGGAATCGGTGTACTAGGCCGGGGGTGGGTGCTGGCCGTGCTGGCACTCGGTCAGGTTGGCGGCCTGATGAAGCACAGTGGGCCAGAAGACCGGTGGAGGCGGCCAAAATTCTAGACGCGTTTTGAGCTGCACTGTCGCTAAATGGGATTCGAACCGAACGTGTGACCCCACCAATGGATTGCTCTCCGAACGAGGAATCCATTAATGGGGTCACACGTTCGGTTTGAGTCCTGTACAGCGACACTGATGCCGAAAACGCGTCTAGACTTTTGGCCGCCTCCACCGGTCTTCTGGCCCACTGTGCACCGTGTCTCCGTGTCCCTCTGCCGTGGGGCACGCCGCCAGTGCGGCGAGCTATTGAAACGCCATGAAAGTGAGTGGCCGCCTCCGGCCGCCTCTCCGGCCTTTATCGCCCGTTAAAAGCGGGTCCCGGAAAAGGAGAGCGGCCAATCTGACTGCCGTAAACGACTTGAAACATCGCCCGTAAAACCGTGAAGCAAAGCCAATTCCCATGAAAATTTGTCCCCGGCCGCGCGAACACAAGGGCAGGCGGACGGACGGGCGGACCGGACGGGCCCCGCGGGCCCCGGGGCGGTGTCTAATAAATTGTCGCGCTGAGGAGGGGCCAGACAGGGAGCGCCACGCGCGGCGCCACCCTGCACGTCGCGACGCGTCGCCGGCCAGCGCGGATTTCGCAACCGTCACCGCGCTTGTCACCACGGCCACCACACAGTGGGCCAGAAGACCGGTGGAGGCGGACAAAACTCAAGACGCGTTTTGAGCTCCAGAGTCGCTAAACAGGACTCGAACGGAAAGTGTGACCCCACCAATGGATTCCTCGTTCGGAGAGCAATCCATTGATGGGGTCACACGTTCCGTTCGAGTCCCATTTAGCGACTCTGCGGCTCAAAACCCGTACGGGACTTCGACCCCCTCCACCGGTCATCTGGTGCACTATGGACCCTGCCGAGGGGCTGCTGGGTGTCGTCCCCAGTGCCCCGAGTCACCGTCGCAGAGGCCCTACAAGATGATAATTACGATTTCCCCGAGACGCTTGGCCGTTTTCAATGAAGGAATCTCGCACAACGCGGTGCTGGCCTCGTCAGCCTCTTGTAAACTAGTTGCGTCCCCCGTCTTCCCGAGCCATTAGCGTTTTATCATTTTTTTTCCGAGGAAGCGGGCTCCTTTTTTATAGAGGTCCCCGGCCACTTCCCGGACCGAAAAGGAAAAATAAAGTTAAGTCCCTGGAAAGCGGCGAAGCCAGGCCGAGCCAGACAGGCCGGAGTTCTCAATATAATAGTGTGGTGGACGTTATCGATTTTAGAGCGGGGATGCTGCCGGAGGTGCGGAGAGCGGCGGGGCGGCGACGGGCCGGCGCAGCGTCGCGCAGCGAGGGCACTAAATCATACAGGGTCATTGGGGAGTCGGGCACCTCGGCGTCGTCACACACTCACACACACACACATACACTTCCTCTCCTTTCCACACCGCCACCGCCTAGTCCGAAAATCGCAACTAATCGGCAGGCAGAGCGATTCCCGCCGGATTCCACTCTCGCAGAGCCACTGCGGGCCGCCATAATGAGTGCGAGAGAGACAGAAGCGACCCGAAATACCCGAAATGGGTCGGCCCCGACCCCGCCCTTTGTTGTGCGAGGTGACCGGCCGCCCTGCCGAAGCCTTGGCGCCTTGGTCGCCACGGCCAGGGCGGCGGGGTGGCGGCACAGGGGGGCGGGGGTTGGATGCTCATCCTATTACCCCTGTCAACCCCTGGCCCGTGCAGGGGGCAGGGGGCCGGGGGCCTGGGGCGCGCCCTGGCCGGTGGCGGCCGCCGTAGGGGTCGGGAGGTGGGGAGGGAGGGGGGACTCGTGCCCGCGTGTTTATCGGCGTAATGATAGCGTGGCCATTGTTCCGGTGCCGAGGCAGGCCGTGGTCCAGCAGGATCTTGGCGGGGCGGGGTGGGGCGTGCACGTGTGCGTGCAGTCGATCTGCAAGCCAGTTTACGGTGCAGGCGTTATCGCAGTGCTCCTTACCGGTCCTTACCGCGGCGCGACCGCGGCGCCTCGTTTGCCGACGCGCTGCCTTTCCTGGACTTGTTAAACGGCGTCCCTGCCTCTGTTGCAGACCCTGACGCTGTCCTCGGCCATCAACAACACCTCGGCCAACAACAACAACATCAGCACCTTGCCCAACAACAACAGCGGCGGCAGTGGCGGCGCGGGAGGCGGCGGTGGCGGCGCGGCCTCGGCCGCTAAGGGCGGCGTCAACGGCCCCAAGGCCGCGGGCACGGCGCCGAGGAAGTCGCGGGGCTGGGGCGGCACTGTCGGCACGCAGGGGCCCAGCAAGGACGGCATGGACCTGCGCTACGTCACGGAGCGCATGATCGCGCTCTGGGTGCCCGGCGACGTGAGCCGCGCCGCCTACCTGCAGGGCCAGCAGCAGGCCGCCAACATGCTGCGCACCAAGCACCAGGACAACTACATGGTGAGCTCGCCGTCGGCTTGCAGGCCTTGCCGTGGAGGCGGCCGAAACTCTAGACGCGTTTTGAGCTCCAGAGTCGCTAAATGGGACGCTAACCGAACGTGTGACCCCACCAATGGATTGCTCTCCGAACGAAGAATCCATCGGTGGGGCTACTCGTTCGGTTCGAGTCCCATTTAGCGAATCAGGAGCTCAAAACGCGTCTGGAGTTTTGGCCGCCGACGCCGGTCTTCTGGCCCACTGTGCGGTGGCGACGAATCTCGGACACTGGCCGTATGCCACGCACGTCCTGTATCGTCTGGGGGTTGGTGGGTTGCCGCCGGACCGCAGGGTGGCGATGAGGGGAGGGGAGGGGTTCGCCCTATCTGTTCATCCATCTTCCCCCCTCACGTTTCGCAACCCCTTCCCGCCTCCCGGGTGGAGGATGGCGGGCTTCTTGTCCATGGGCGGATAAGCAAGAAGCAAGAGTTGTTCTTTTGTCGTACTAAATTTCAGGAAATTTTCTGAAAAGTGAGCGGATTTGACTTATTTCACTTTTCCGCTTGCCGAATTGTTTATGCTGCGCTAGAAAGATCGTAATTACCTTCTCCACTTCGCGGCGAGGGATGACTCGAAGTTCAATATGGGTTGTATTTACTTACCCTGTCGTTTTCTTCCCCAAAACTTACCCCCACTCTCCCTCCTTCAAAAGATGCTGGATCTAAGGTGTGCGCGGCTGTCCTTGCAGGTGTTCAACCTGTCGGCGCCGCGCCGCTCGCTCCGCCACCACCACCACGCCGTGCGCGAGCTGGGCTGGCCCCGCGACCTGGCGCCGCCGCTGGAGCGGCTGTGCGCCATCTGCAAGGACATGGACTCGTGGCTGAAGGGCAACGCGCGGCGCATCGCCGTGGTGCACGCCCGCGGCAGCAAGGACCGCATCGGCGTGGTGGTGGCCGCCTACATGCACTATTCGCACATCTGCGGCGGCGCCGACCAGGCGCTGGACCGCTTCGCCATGAAGCGCTTCCTGCAGGACCAGGTGCAAGACGTGGAGCAGCCCTCGCACCGAAGGTACGTCCCAGCCTATCCACAGTAGGTCAAAACGGTAAAAATCGGGAAAAAAAATATTGTCCCGAAATTACTCTCCCGACCGGAACTTGGGGTGGCCAGATTCGGATTCCTCATGAAAATTTGAGTCCATATCATGAAAAATCGCCGTGGCTTTTCGAAAACCCGCCGATATATGGGCCTCCAAAACAGCTAAATGGGTTAATATCAAAAATAACACTCTCTTAATATAACCCACACATCGTCGGGTATTCAAAAAGCCACGGCTATTTGTCACGATTCTGACTCAAATTTTTTTGGGGAATCCGAATTTGGCCACCTCTGGCTCCGATTGGGAGAGTAATTGAGCGTACCCAAATATTATTTTTTTCCCCGATTTTTACCGTTTTGACCCACTGTGCTATCAAGGAAGAACCGCCAGATCATTTCCGAGCACTGCAATGCTCAAAGCGCAACAAACCTCCAATTTTAACTATCGCGACTTGGCCGCAGGTACGTGGACTACTTCTCGGGACTGCTGTCGGGCTCCATCAAGATCAACTCGGCGCCGCTGTACCTGACCCACGTGACGGTGCTGGGGGCGCCGTCGTTCGAGCCCAGCCACCCCGACGGCCCGGACCCCGGCGGGGGCGGCGCGGGCGTCGCGGTGGGCGGCTGTAGGGCGTTCCTCAAGGTGTACGAGGGCCTGGTGCCCGTGCACACCTCGGCCGTCTACTGCGCCGCCGAGGACGCCAGGGCCTTCACCGTCAACGTGGCGGCGGAGCGCGGCCGGCGGGGGCTGCAGCTGCGCGGCGACGTCCTAGTCAAGTGCTACCACCGGCACTACAGGTGGGTGCCGCAAGGCTGCAGTGCGCAGCATGCGCAGTGGGCCAGAAGACCGTGGAGGCGGCAAAAATTCTAGACGCGTTCTGAGCTTCAGAGGTCGCTGAATAGGACTCGAACCGAACGTGTGACCCCACCAATGGATTGCTCTCCGAACGAGGAATCTATTAAGTGGGGTCACACGCTTGGTTTGAGTCCCGTGTAGCGACTCTAGAGCTCAAAACCTCAAAACGTGTCTAGAGTTTTGGCCCCCTCCACCGGTCTTCTGGCCCGTGACAGGCAGTGACAGTCCTACCCAGTGGAGATTTTCAGTGGTGGACATTTTCTCCGTTATACCAAAGAAATTTCACAAAATATCTCCAAGGTAAAACTACAATGTCAGCAACACCCTCTGAATATGGAGAATCTTCACCATAGGCCTAATCTTTGAGAGCGTGGTGCCACCTTCTTTCGCCGTCTTTCCTTCTCTCACGGAAGACTTTGAGTCATTTTTAACAATTTGAAATCATTTGGCGGACTTGCAGCAAGAAAGGCGACCCGAACGACCCGGCGCACTTGAAGGAGGCGCGCGAGATCGTGTTCGCGTGCCAGTTCCACACGTGCGCCGTCTCGGACTACACGCTGAGCTTCACGCGGAGCGAGCTGGACTACGCTTGCGATGGTGAGGGCGAGGACTGAGGGTTTATTCTTATTTATTCTGCTTATTTCTTTGGGGTTTTGGCGATTCTCTGCTGATCTAAGTGTGGACCAAGACCACTCTTTAAAGCGCCCACACTTGGATTAGCAGTGCAGAGGTCTCGGCAGGGAGCCTTAACTTACCTCACAAGAGCATTATAACGTTATCGTACGAGTTTAAGTTACAACCCTTCACTTCTAAATTATTTTCAAAAGGATAAGTTATTTTTCTTGTGTCTCGAATTTGTGTGGAGATACTTTTGGAAGAACTTGCAAAAGTCCGTACCCTTAACCTTTAGCGAACATTGTCTTATGTTACATTATGAAAGCAGTGTTAGTTACATGTTACGTTAAGTTAAGGATCCCTGGGTCTCAGAGAGAGATACCATTTACAGTTACAATGCACAATTTGGATGTTTGAAATTGAAATTTGTCCTCCTGCCGGCCCCCAGACTTGCGCTTCCCGCTGGACGGCGCCGTGGAGCTGCACTTCTCTCCCACGCCCGAGCCCCGCCTGCCGTCGCCGGCGCCCACCCCCGCCGTGCCCACCCTGGACTCGTCCGACGACCCCGTCACGCGGTGGGACTCGTACGAGCACCTGGGCCACCTGGGCCACGCCAGCGACGACGAGGACGACGACGTGCTGTCTGGTGAGTCGACGGGGACGAACTGGAAGCAGCAATCTCGCTGAAAAGCACGATGTACTCCGTCACCGCACAGTGAGTCAGGAGACCGGTGGAGGCGGTCAAAATCCCGGACGCGTTTGGAGCCCCAGAGTTGCTAAATGTGACTCGAACCGAACGTGTGGCCCCACCAATGGGTCGCTGTCCGAACGAGGACTCCATTGGTGGCGTCATACGCTCTGTTCGAGTCCTGTTCAGCGACTCTGGGGCGCGGTGGTGGTGCTCGAACTTGCACCCGCGCTCGCGGTGGTGGCGCTCGATCAAGGGCTGTCCGCGCGTGCCCCACACGTGTCGCAAAGCCCCCCCCCCCCCCCCCCCCCCGGCGACAGGTAAGCGACACCGCCGCCAGGGGGCGCGGCTCCGCGACATCCGGCCGAGCCCAGTCGAGCCCCAGCTTGTTTTCTTTTGGCGGGAATAACAACAATGATACAAATGGGGCGGTTTGTGTGATCCCGGGTGTGGGGAGGAAGTAGGCGAGGATGCGCCTCGCGCCACAACTTGCCGGTTTACTACCGAGAAAAGGGGGAGGGGGGCACGCGCCGGCAGCAGCAGTGGGGTGTCCGTGAAGGGAGTAAATGTACTGTGAGGAGGGAGGGGGGGGAGAGAGAGACGGCGCGTGTGCAGTGTGCCGCGCCGCGCCGCGCCGCGGTGTCCCTAAAGGCCTGAAGGGCCCTCGCCCTCCTCCGCCGGTGCTGCTGCATCTGCCGCGCGTCGCCACAGCTGCTCCCGACCAAATCAAAGCCACGAAGGTGTCGTCCTCGTATTACGTCACGCCTTTCGTCTCTCTCGCACTCATTGGTAGACGACGAGAGGGAGCGAGCTGTGAAGACGCGTTAGTATCTGGAAGTTCCGAGGGAGGTCCCCGAACACTGAAAAACCAAACGTCGTCTAGACCACACCGACTGATGTGGTCAAAATGGCACCCATTTGACCTGACCACACCAGTTGGTTTGGTCTAGACCACGTTTGGTTTTTCAGTGAATACGTACGTCGAATACGCACCGGGCGCGCTGCCGTTGTCTGATTCGTTTGGCGGCGTGTCTCTGGTCGGACTTGAGCTCGCCCAGCACACTGGTCGCGAGCGCCAGCACCACCTGCCTCTGCACGGCCAGCCACGAGCTTCGTCGCTCCGCCTCGGTTCGCCCGGAGCGCGCTCTCCACCCACTCCGCCCCCGCGGTCGCGGCGCGGTGGGGGTTTGCCAGTGGAGTGTCGCTCGGTTTCCCAAGGTGGCGTTAAACCTCGTCGACCAGCTTTCCCGTGCTCAACAATGGACATGCTGGACCTCGTCTTGGAGCTAGTCCTAGCGGGGCGGGGCGTCTGTATAAGGCCGAGCCCTGCTGCAGTGCGGTGCCCGGCGCGCTGGAGTCCGGAGGATCGCGGCGCCGGACCGCCCGACCGCCGGACCGGACCTTCCGCAGCATTCCTCGCGACGACCGCCAACTAGGGATGTCGCCGCCGTAGAAATCGCAGTGCAGCACCGCGCCGCACCGCGCAGCACCGCCTAAAACGGGACGGCAACGAAATAGATACAAGTCGCCGGCGTCCGTCGCGGCCTCGCGCGCACGCCGCGGGGCTGCAGACGGATTCCGAGAGTCGCTTTCGTCGCTGTGTCTCTCTCGCACTCATGGGGCGTCCCGTGTGGGTGCGAGAGAGACAGAGCGGCGAAAACGACTCTCGGCGTCGCGGCGCTGGTCGCGGAGGGTCGTGCGTGCATTGTGCGCGCCGTCGCTAATCTGATGCACCTTTTGATCGGCGCCTCGCGACGCCGCCGTCAAGACCCCCCCCCGCGACCCCGCGGCGACCCCGCGACGGCCCCGTGAGAACGACCGGTCCCGTCGACGGCGTCCTGGCCGCGGGGCTCCGGCTTGGCGGCGGTCCGCGCTCCGGTCCGGGACGGCGTGTTTTGTCCGACGGCTGTCAGTCCAGTTTTGCGCGCCGCGCTGCGGATTATGTGCGGCGACGTCGTCGTGGCAACGCGATGTGGCAGCCGTCCAAGCGCCTTTGCCTCCCCGCTGCACCGCTGGGGTGCACCTGCATCGCCCGCACGGCCTGCACCGCCTGCATCGGCGTGTGCGCCCGCCGCACAGTGGGCCAGAAGACCGGTGGAGGCGGCCAAAACTCTAGACGCGTTTTGAGCTCCAGAGTCGCTGAATGGGACTCGAACCGAACGTGTGACCCCACCAATGGATTGCTCTCCGAACGAGGAATCCATCGGTGGGGTCACAAGTTTGGTTCGAGTCCTGTTTATCGACTCTGGAGCTCAAAACGCGTCCAGGATTTTGGCCGCCTCCACCGGTCCTCTGGCCCACTGTGCGCCGAGCCATTGCGTCGCGGTGCCGCGCAGTGCCGCGCAGTGCTGCCAACTGATATGACTGAGCAGATTACTCGGCGAGACTGACGGGCGAGTGGCGCGGGCTGGGCGCTGCCAACCGGCAGACTGATTCAGAGAGTCTGTCTCTCTCGCACTCACGAAGCGTATATGGGTGTGAGAGAGACAGGTCGACGAAAACGGCTCTCGGAATGAGTCTGCTGCGGGCGGTAAGCGCGGCGCTACGCGAGTGCCAGGGGTGGGGCGGGGCGGGGTGGGGTGGGGCGGGTGGCTTCCAGGACGAATGCAGCGTCTGATTCATGTGGCGCGCCAAGCCGGCCAAGCCGACAGGTGCTGCAGGCTTACAGTCAACTTGCCGAGCCCTTCGGCCTCGGCGCGGGTGCGACCGGCCACATTACCGACCGGCCGAGTCGAGTCATTTGTCTGCCGTCAAAGGCGTGTGACAGTGTGACAGTGACCGGCCGGCGACTCCGATTCGGCCGACCCGAGCGTCGAGGATGCCGGAGGTGAAATTGTCGGTCCGTCGTCCTCCTCGGTCTTGATGAGTCCCGGCGAGTCGCGGCGCCGGGCAGTGCAGTGGTAGTGCAGTGCAGTGGCCAGCTGGGCAAGCTTCCCTACTTGATGGAGTTGCTGCACTCTGTTGCCACCGCGCTGTGCTGCGATGCTGCGGCACGTACGCTGCTACGCCCGTACGCTCTGCGGTGGCGGCGACTGCAGTCGGCTGCGGCGCTGCAGGCAGCCGGAGAGGCGCGGCGGGGCGCGGCGGGGCGCGGCGGGGCGCGGCGGGGCGCGGCGGGGCGCGGCGAGGCGCGGTGCCGAACTATTTCTATCTGTGGGAGTGTTTGGTCCAGAGCGGTGCCGGGCCCTTGCCGCCGTGACGCCGGGACGAGCCGGGACGACCCCAGCGTTGCACAGCATCCGGCTGCCGCGGCGGGCAGGGCCCGGCAGGGGAAGGAGCGGGGGGAGGGGGCTGCAGACGACAGCCACAACGCCTTTCTGCCCGTCGAGCCGCGCGCAGCGAGCACCGCTGCTTGGAGGCGCGCATCGCATCGCAGTCCCTCACGTGGCCTCCTCCGCGGCGGTACGTACCCGACGCCCTGCTCCGCGACGCCCCGGCGCGACGCGGCGGACGCTCCGGGCAGCGCGACGCCGTTACCCGTCACAGTGCGACGACGACGGCGTCCTGGTGCTCCGACGCGCGACAGTGCCGCGACACGGCGTCGGCATGGCGCCGTGCGCGGGGACGCCGCCATAGTGAGTGGTCCTGGTGGCGGTGACGGCCGACGCGTGGATGCATGTGCCGGGCTGCGGCCACTGCGGCCACTGCGGGGGCGGCTGGTGCCAGCAGGGGCAGTACGCCGTGCCCAGCCCCAACCCCCGGCCCCTGCAGCACGCCGCGCAGGGGGGCGGCGGCGGGCCGGTACTGCTGCTGGCTGCCGGAGACGGACGTGCTGTGGAACAGGCCCCCGCAGCCCGGCCAAGCGCGCCAAGAAGCAGGGCATGCCGCAGGTGAGAGCAAAGTGACCCGGGAAGTGCCGGAGTTCGTACTTACATGCCGCTCGCGTCCTCCCACAGGATTCGTCTTTAAGTTTAGCGCCGCGCTGCCCCTACCGGCGCGCTGCACAGTGGGCCGGAAGGCCGGTGGAGGCGGCCAAAATTCCCGACGCGTTTTGAGCTCCAGAGTCGCTTAATGGGACTCGAACCGAACGTGTGACCCCACGAATGGACTGCTGTCCGAACGAGGAATCCATTGGTGGGGTCACACGTTCGGTTCGGGTCCTATTTAGCGGCTCCGCAGCTCAAAACGCGTCTCGAGTTTTTGACCGGCTCCGCCGGTCTTCTGGCCCACTGTGCGCTAAAGGCCTTCCTGGAGTAGCGCGCTATCATGTCGGACTAACGGCCGGTTAAGCCGAACAAAACAATTTACTGTGGCGGCGCGGCGCCAAGACGCGCGCTCCGTCTCTGTCGCACCCAAGCGGCGTCCCAAGGAGTGCGAGAGAGACAGAGCGACGGAACGACTCCTGGAAATGGCCCTGCCTGGCTGAGGGCCAGGCAACGCACCACGAGTGTGCGCGCCGTGCCATGAGCAGCCATGAGTGCCCCGCCCATTACTCTCCAGGTTTACGGGCTTCAAAGTGAGCAGACGGGGCGGCCGGACCGGACAGGCACTGAGCAGACAGGGGCAGGAGCCGCGAACCCCTGGCCCTGGGCCTCGCCAAGGCCTGGCTTTGGGCTCCAGCAGACTCATTCCGAGAGTCGTTGTCGTCGCTCTGTCTCTCTCGCTCTTTTAGGGACGCACCATGAGTGGGAAAGAGACAGCGCGATGAAATCGACTCTTGGAATCAGTCGGCTCACAGTAGGTCAGAAGACCGCTGGAGGCGGCCAAAACTCTAGACGCGTTTTGAGCTCCAGAGTCACTGAATGGGACTCGAACCGAACGTGTGACCCCACCAATGGATTGCTCTCCGAACGAAGAATCTATTGGTGGGGTAAAAGTTTGGTTCGAGTCCTGTTTATCGACTCAAAAACGCGTTCAGGATTTTGGCCGCCTCGACCGGTCTTCTGGCCCACTGTGCGGCTGGGCTACGCCACCTGTGCTTAAAGTTTACTCAGTACAGTCTCCTGAATACTCGCTGC